TAATAGCTTTTGTTGAACTCGAGATATGAATAAAAACTCATAAACATAAGTAAGTATAGTATTGACACACCCTGTATTATAAATTACATTAAAAAATAAGTCAGAAGGTATTTTCAAATTTTTTTATAGCAGAAGAATCTTAATGTTGATACCTATTTTGGATAAAATAGTTTTTTTGAAACTAAGTAGGCTACGACAATGAATTTGATTGTTCATACTGTTTATTTATTGACAGCAGTCAAAACATTGTTAAGAAGTGCTATATTATAATTCAAATTAAAGATTGCACTTTTTTCAATAGATATTAATATTGGTAATATTAGTAATTAATTATCAGTACAAATAATTCGTGATGAGTAGGTATATCAAATTGTATGATATGATTGGAGTTTATTTCGAATGTCACCAAAATGCCGCTATTGCCACACGTATATATTTTGTAAGATATCGTGACAGGAGACATTATGGCAAAGAAGTATTTGAAAGAAGGGCAAAAAGATTAAGAGAAACTGGTAGTTTTTTTCGCCCTTGTTTTAAACGACGTAGTAGAGTTATGACCGAAGATAATTCAATCAATGTTCTTGCTTTAATTCAACAGAATCCACATATAAGTAGTCCGAAATCTCTACTTCTTTGCCACAATATCTCCTGCCATGATATCTTACAGAATATATACGTGAGGCAATAGCGCCATTTTGATGATATTCGAAACAAACTCCAATCATATCATACAATTTGATATACTCATCACGAATTATTAGTACTGATAAATTAATTACTAATATTACCAATATTAATATCTATTGAAAAAAATGCAATTTTTAATTCGAATTATAATACATTTAACACTTCTTAACAATATTTTGACTGCTGTCAATAAATAAACAATACGAACTCCCTGTCAAATTCATTGTCGTAGCCTACTTAGTTTCGAAAAAACAATTTATAATCATATGAAATAATAATGGTCAAAATAGGTATCAACATTAAGAGTTTTCTGCTATAAAAAATTTTGAAAGTACCTACTGACTTATTTTTTAATTTATTTTATAATACAGGGTGTGTCAATACTATACTTACTTATGTTTATGCGTTTTTATTCATATCTCGAGTTCGATAACAGCTATTAACATGCGGTTTACGCCATTTTGTTATGAATTTAATCCAGTTCCATTATAATTTATAATAAATAGGTGTTTCCATTAAAAATTTTGAAGAAAAACAAATTTTAATTTTTTCTATTCGAAAGTACCCTCTACCTACGACAATTAAAACTAAATGCAATTATTTTATAGTAGATGTAAATTAACTCATCCATACTCTTTCTAATGACACTAATTTTGTTAAAATCGGTTGATCCAAACCAAAGTTATAGGTATTTATCCACAAATACTTTCCACTCTTCCCCACCCTTTATTTGAAAAAATAAAAAAAAAGTACTTGAACAACTTGTGCAGAATTTATGCCTCTTTCTAGTTTACTTATTTAACACTTGGTATAATTGGACATATTTCCCAAAAAACTGGTTTTCAAAATTTTCTTCGCAGGTAACGCCCCCTAGCGGTTAATCCAGAATCTTGAAAGTTATTTCCAACGATTTCTCTTGGCCACTTTTACTAAGGATTTTTTTCTCCTAAAGTTATAACATGAATAGTTTCTGATATATATATAGCCGAGTGATCGGCTTATTGGACCACCCGGTACAATGTACAAAAACTATCTCTATGTGTCTAGACATACATAATTATTACATAATTTTCATCATTATTTTGGCTTTATAACCCTGTGTGGGTCCTCGCCTCCCCAATAATTCTCTTCCAGTCGTCCCTATCCATCGCCTTCCTCTGCTAAGCACGTATTTCCATATTTCTCATATCTAATTGTTACATTTAACACATATTTTATTAGTTTTTCTGTATTTGCCTGTACAACAGATATGGCATCGTCCCCTTGTATTTTTTATTTGTTCTACTCTGGCCTCATATTCAAACGTTCTGGAAATATCTCTGCCATATAACGCTTTTTATTCTTTTCAATGTACTTATTCCTATAATGTCTAAAAACATATTCCTTAAGCTCCTTGCCCAGTGCCAAAATATACATTTTTCCACATAAAGTTATATTTTTCTCCCATAACTTATATGCAAATTGTAAACTCATAAAAAAATTGTCATTTGTTATTCCAAATTCTCCATCCAAAGGGTCTATCAAGTCTAGGACAACTCTTCAGCCTTGAGCTTTCTCCGCCTTAGGGCCTTGTTTTCCTAAAAATTAATAGATTTAAAATTTGCTTGTTTTCTTATTGGCAATTCAAAAACTTACCCAAATATATTTGCATGTTTACAATAAAAAAAAGTAGTACAGTCCACAAAGGCCTATATCTTTATTCTGTACCTGTCAGGTTTGCTCTTCGTATAAACTCTGAATCGTGCTTTACCTCTAAAACGATCACTATACCGTCGCCTGGTATAGTGATTTTTCAAAATTAGAAATAAAAATATCACATACATCTCTTGTTGGGGTCAGTTTATCTACCGAATTTCTTGTCTGGTTTCAAAATTGTCAAAACGTATAAATGAAGTTATTTGTTTGAACCTATCTCTAAATGTAGACATAGCAGCTGGTATTATAGGATGGCAGTAAGCAATATCGTCACACCAAAGCATATCGATCGCCTCTTTAGATCCATGAAAAGCTCCAAGTATAACCGATATAGGCTTGAATCTCTACAGAATCAACGCAAACATACACTTTAATTTTATTTGGGTTTTCACTATTCCAATTTATCGTAATACGCTTGAGCCTTCCGATTAGTTTCCATGACAATTATGTTTAGAATTTCGTCTAAAAAAACAGAGGGAAAGCGTTTTTAATACTTGATATATCATCACTGTAATTTGTAAGTCCTAGAGCATGTCTACGAATATTGGCCTTCACGCGTTTCACTTTTGTGTTTTTCGGCAACTTTGACCACTCAGTTCCATCTTCAGGTACATATACCGGTGTAAGTGAACCTTCCGAGTCAGTAACTGTTGGTTCATTTTGCTCTATGCTTTTATCAATAATAAGGTTATTTTCCTCTTCTACCTCTGTTACAATGTCTTTATCTTCTAAATCACTTGGGGTATCCTCATTAATATCAAGCTCTGGATCATCACTTTCAAGTAGACGTAAAAGTTCATCTTCACTCAGTTGCTTTCGCCTGTATATAAATGAAACGTAACTCATGTTCAGAATTTTATGCACTATTCACAAATACGACAAGAAACCAACTGACACTGGAACTTAATATATATTATATTATTTCGTTAAATTTTATCGTATCTCTGGGAATCCCCCATTTAAACATGTAAAACCCTTACATAAAACGATAATACACTCATACTCGGTACTAATCCGTAAAATGGGATTTCCATATTATTACAACTTATTAGAATTCATTTTATATGACATAAAAGGCTGGCTGGGGTATTAGGAGACCCCAGCCTCTAAAATTGAAATTTAAATTTAATCTAAATTAAATGTTTAAATGTTAAGAAACCGTTAATGTTCTTGTAGGCATAATTTTTCATCAATACAATATGTAAACTATAGATAGATGTTTGTGATCTAAAACAATCAAAAATTGGGATCTGGGGTCAAAATAGACCTTGGCCAGTCCGATGAAGGTGAAATAAAGTAGTTTGATATGTTTCATCACTTCCGTAATTTCATTTTACTAAAAGTAAATGAAAATAGTAGTTTCTGTCTGTATTTATTATTCTTTAGTCTTTATTTATTTTAAATTATTAAAAAGTTAACGCAAGCCCTTTAGGCAGCGTTTAGCTTAAAAAACTCTCCTCGGTCTTTAGTCTTCGCTGTCCAGTTTTTCTCTTTTTGATCCTTCTCCACCTCATCTAGCGATCTTTCTTTAGATCGTCTTACTCTTCTTTTATTTGCAAACTCTGTTTCATTTTCTTTTTTTGTCCTTTCGTCATTCATTCTTTTTGATTGACCTAACCGTTTAGTCTCGTTGCTATGGCTACTTAGACTATTGTAAGTAAAAATTTAAATACACGTCCAAAGATAAAAAAGAGCACAAATAATAATAAAATAAAATTATGTGTGCTGAATGAAGTTGTATACAAACTTGAATGTGGCGACTGCCCAAAACTTACATCGGTCAAACCGGGAGAACGTTTAACAAACGTTTAGCAGAACATACAACGGCTTTCAATAATAGAAAAACAGATTCTACATATTACTTCACCTAGATCATAATTATTCTTTTAATGAAGACTTTTTAATTCTTCACATCCAAAATAAAGGCCTTAATCTATGAAAATTCTGAATGACGAACTTGAGACAACTAGTTCTTCCCTCCTTAACTTATACAGTTACAGACTATAAAGTGTAAACGTATACCAAAAATAGATCACTTAAGGTACTCTACCGAAACAGCTGTAGCGATTGGAAGTTGAAAAAAAAATTTCAGTGTTATATTGTTATAAAATATCTTTTATATTTATGACCAGGGAGATGAATTAGCAATTGAATCAGTCATTAACGAAAGCATCGATATTATCAACAAATTTTCAGTCACGTATATTTTAATAGCAAAATATATTGTAAACAAGATTACTCGTATTGTTCAAAGCTGAAAGCTTAAATAGATCAAAATTTCTATAAATATGTGGCTCCAACTCCCAAGTACTTATTGACCGATCAGCTAACACCAAAATCCTCAATTGATAGGTATCTGATAAGAATCCAGCATATTCTTACAAAATGACCACTTTATTTCCACTTATGTCCACCAATTTTAGAAGAATCAAAGTTTCAAAATATATTGAAGCAAAACTTAACATTAGATATCTTAAGGATATTAATTTATTTCTTCGTTATTAGTTAATTAATTTGTATAATTTTATTTGTAAACAAATTTACAATTTATAGGCACAATTTAAAAATATCTAATAAATTCAATCAAATAATACTTTAGTTTATTGTACAAAACTTACCATTTGATTGGGAGTCTTGGGTTTTCTTTGCACATCCGATATTTTTTGGCACGCTGCAAAACAAAAATGCGTTACAAAATAAACTAATCGTAATTTCTGTACAAATAATTTAATAAAAATTTAAAAATTCATTTATAGAACTAAACTGTGTGTTATCTGAAATTTTATTCTTGATCGAAACCTTCCTTCTGCACCAAGCGAATCGACCACGATTATCTTTTAAAGTAAACAGATTTCATCATTAAAATAATTGACATGTCACAAACAGCACCTATACAACAATCGACAAACTATGTGTACATACTCCATTGATAGAAATTGTGGGCAGATTTCCTAAGCCCTATTACGAAGGACGGATAGGCATAATTACAAATCAGGGTGTGTACAAAGAGTAGGCACACGTATAATAAACGTCATAAAAAAACGTCATTATGGGTGGCGACTAGTTGTAACGTTGTAGGCAACGACGATGTCTTGCAGTCGGACACTTATGGTTGAGTAATGGGGTTCTTTAGTTCAGCGGTTAGAACTTTCTAGTATAAAATGTCGATGTAGGTAAGAATCACTGTCTTTATTATATTTAAAGTTAAAAAAAAACGAATTAATAAATATAACTATCCAAACAAAATAGAAATAGAACAATGAATATGTTAAACCAACATACAATGGTGACTGACAATGTAATACCCAGAGAATAATAATGATGACAAAATGTAAATCGCTAAAGATAAAAATATGTACATTAAAAAAATAGAAAAGCTCCACGATTTATTTCTGTAATATATTTGTATTATACTATAATAAATTGGTTTAGATAGGAAAGTACGGACAGTGTGACCGGACTTACGAAAATAAAGCAATGCATATTTAAGAAATTTTATATTATCCTGGTTCTATTTGTTTCTAAAACCTGTTAAAAATTTAAATTAGAAACACTTTGCATAGTTAGAAGAATTGAAAATAAACAGATTGTTCTATTTCGTTAACAAAAAAATGAACTTCGAAATAGTCAATAAATTAGATACTTTATAATATTTGTCTCACTGTAGGATTTTTTCCTATGTATTGAAAACATGGATTCTCAAAATGGTCCATATATGCCTCCAGGGGTCGATTTTGACTGGCAGGTCAATGACAACGGTGTTGCAGTTTCGCAACTGTACATAAATATTGGTAAACAGACTTTTTGTTAGCTTTAATTCTCCTCCCTTATATTTAGCCAAGTTTCCGCGTACAAAACTACAGACGATGTAGAAACAGAGCGGTTGTTAAATACTTTGTTGCAGACAAATGACGGTTTTTTCATACATTGTATGTTAACAATGAGCAATAGAAAAATGAATGGATTTCGTTAAACGTGCAAATCGCTGACAAATTATGAATGGCTCACATGTAGCGTCAGCTTGTACGAAACAACTCTTGGCCCAACGGCTGTATTATTTAGTCACGCATCGGTCAGTTACAGATAGTCATTCCAGCCAGTAGAGGTGGTAGCTGTTCAGCCACCACAGATGTGTGTTGGAGTTCTAGGGTAATGCTCCCTACCAGTAGCGCATCTAGAATTGTCCTCTGGGGGGGGGGTTTTGGTTGGTCACCGAAATTTTTTTATGCTACCTCCACCATCTTACGTACTTAACATTTGTAACATATAACAGTGTCGGAATAGTGCCTGGAGGTGGGGGGTTTGACCACCAAAACACCCCCCTGGGTGCGCCACTGCTCCCTACCTCGAGATACTTTTGTTCCTGAGCTGCCAAGAAGACCGGGTCTTCGCTACATGGTATATTTGGCTACCTTTACTACACGTGGTAAAATATTTCAGCTATTTTAAATTCACTTGACAATTTATTAAAAAAAAAGAGGTTAAGCGGAACGGGACACCTTTTTATATTTTCTCTAAGACATTTTTTATCTTTGTGAACTTGTCTAAAGTTAATCTTCTTCCTTTTAGTGTGTTTCAATATTTAAGGATATTGGCGATTATCGTGGCCCATTTTAATCTATCTGCAGCGATTCGTAAAAGTTCTATTTTTGGTTTTACTACTCCAGTACTTCAAATTATTTAATCAGGACGTGTGTCGTATCTCTGGTTTTCTTTTTCTTTCTTTCTTCGCTTGATTAACCAATGGCATCAACTGTTTTTTTCATTTCTTAGTATGTGACCAAAGTAGACCCATTTTTTTCCCTTATAGTATCAGGTATTTCTTTCTCCTTTTCCATTTGTCTTAAGGTTTGGAGTGCTTCATACGTATTGTGTCTATAACATTTTTCACATTCTAAACCACATTTCTAAGCCACATAGCAAAAGTTGCCACAGCAAAAATGACCAAAATATGGAAGGACTGTAAAATTTCAAGAGCGATAAAGATGAGGTTGATCAACTGCTTAATATTCCCAATACTGACCTACGGATGTGAATCTTGGACTCTGAGACAATCGGAGAGAAGAAAGATAGACGCCACTGAAATGTTCTGTTGGAGACGAATGTTACGCATTCCTTGGACCGACCGTAGAACAAATAATTCAATTTTAAGAGAGCTAAAAGTTAGCCAACGACTCTCTAGTAAAGTTCATCTCCAACAATTAAAATATTTTGGGCATGTTATGAGAGCAAACACAGAAAATATGGAAAGACTCATAATACAAGGAAAGGTAGAAGGCCGAAGATCACGAGGAAGATCCCCAACAAGATGGATAGATCAAATTACAGAAATATGCCAAAGACCTATGCATGAATTAACAGAAATGACCAGAGACAGAGATCTCTGGAGACGGACAATACACGACATCACGTCGACCACTACACTTCCCCTGGGGGTCAGGATTGAAGAGAGAGAGAATCTATATCAGTACTCGTTTAGTGTGTTGCGGACTAGTGTAAGGTGGACAGTGATCAGTAGTTTCAATAAGAACCTTATTATTAAATTTATAGAATATTAAATTATGTATTATTTAAAATGCTTGTCGTGTATTATAAAAAATGACTCCACGTCAGTGGGTGGTCCTTCGATATACGGGAATAATTACATGATTTAGTACGCTCTTAAGGGTGGTAAGATCAACGTCTTAATTTGTTGAACAAATGTCCGTTCAATTCTACGAAATACCTTTCATATCGAACTAACTATAGCAAGAACCCTTGCTATAGTCATTGTTATTTTTAATCTTACCTATGTTGACACTATCTCTTAGTGTGTAGTAAAATCGATATGAAAATACACATAGTTTTAAAACCAAACCAATCGTATTTGCCCACTGGAGAAAAAATGGCAAAAAGCCTTTATTAAATATTTAAAATTATATAATATATATACCTAGCTTTATTATACACATAGTACTAGTGTGAGCTACACAACTATCCGATATATGTTCTTTGTTGAATATTTATCGCGATGTGGGCTATATTTGACGCCACGGGACGATGATTTCATCTTGACTTTTATGAATTTAATTTACCTCCAGTGGCATTGTGATGCAAATTTAGCGGGAAAAATATTTGAATATCGTTTCTATATACGAACGGATGAGGACATGTAAACATTGTCGGTTCGACTTTAAAAACGAAAAAGGAAGTATTATCATAAAAGTATGAAAATTTAGAAAAGTACGTGCCGCCGCGGTCGACGCGTTGTTTTTTTGCTGTTGGAAGCGTTTGAAGTTTAGATTGAAGTTTTAATGGGATTCACGACATTGTTGTGTGGGAATATGGTTAGATGGAAGTGATTATGTGAAGCGTGCTATGCGGCACGGGAGCTTTTTTAAAAAAATAATCTATTCCTTCCAAACACAAATAAGTTTTCCTTCAGAATGATTGTTCAAACTCCGTGCAACTACATGTAGTGATTACCGGACAATAAGTCTGATGATTATTGTTTTAAAGATGCTCATCCGAGCAATAGATGGTCGAATATACAGCATATTAGGAGAGATCATTAGAAATACTCAGTTCATACTCAATCGAGATCATTTTTACCAACTGTTTCTATACAGATAACGACATTGTTTTGTTGACCATAGGAATTAAAATTTATTGCAATTCCGTCTCTACAGTATATACACTTCTCAACAATTGAAGTGGATGAAAATGTGTATTTTATTTTTTGTTCATACGATCATAAGAAAAATGGAGTGATATAAATAAAGATTTATTTTTACTTCGTATTTTCATACAGATGAACCGAAAGAAAGAAATTCTTTTCGAAAAAAATACAAAAATAAACAACCTAAAATTTCTATTCCTGCTCAATTTCTAATATCCCGAAAAGAAAAATTAATAGTGTGTGGGTCCACCTCTGTGTCGCTTTAGTGCTCTAACTCTATTTGGAAGACCTCTTATTAAATTATTGATGAACTGCTGCGGTATACGTTCCCAAATTGAGCGCAATGTATTGGCCAACTCATTTAAGGTTTGGGGCTGTTGAAGGAGCCTGTTTTGTTGCCTAGACATTTTGGCTCAAACATGTTCAATGAAATTTATATCAGGTGAACATGGTGGCCACTCCATTTTTGTAATGTCATGAGCTTCTATACACTCGTTGACAATTCTCGCACGGTGAGGGAGAGCATTATCATCAATCAGAATAAAATGTTCGCCTATTGCACCTAAAAATGGAACAACTATTGGTAACTATGACTCTGTCTCGATATCGTGTAGCAGTCATTGTCTTATTAATAAAGACGACTAAATCCGTGCGACCGTCAAAACATATGCCTCCCCACACGCAAACGGATCCACCTCCAAAAAGAGTGGTTGGGACTCTCATATTTTCATTGTAACGCTGTTCTCTTTCCCTCCACACCAATATTCGGCCATCATTCGTATACAAACGAAATCTGGACTCGTCAGTAAATAGACAATTTCTCAAATTTTTGAAATTCACTAATAGTGTTCCATCGCCCCATCTGAATGCACGCTGCTCCCTAGTTAGTCGTGGATGGGTAGTGCGCCATCTAGCCCTTAAATTGGATGCATGTAACCGTCTTTTGACAGTGTGATTGGAAATCGCTCGTCCAGTAGCATGCCTGAAGATACTGTTAATTCTGGAAGCCGTGAATATTGGGTTTCTTCTTGCCGTCAGAACTACAAAACGGTCTTGCCGACGAGTTGTAGATCGTTCTCTTCCTCCTCCATGCCTGTATGTTGCAGATCCAATTGCTACATACCAATTCCATGCACGACTTATCACACTTTGCGACACATTTAGCCTCATAGCAACCTCTTGTTGAGTTATGCCATGTTGGATCCAACGAACTGATTGCTCGAGCTGCACTAGTTCTTAACGTCTTTGCGGCATAATGTTTTTGTGATAAATAGATTTCTTGACTTATTGACAACTGGTAAAGCCAATACAAGTACTTTTATACAAATGATATATTTATGTTTGGAACAACATTTCTCTCTTTGTACGGGATAAGGGCCGATAAGAATAGGGAGAAAAAAACCACATGCAAAAAATATTGGCAATAAAGATAGTATATAGAGTATAGTACAGGCAATTATTTTAAAAATAGTTTTGTATGTTAATTTAAGGAATTTTAAAATTATTCACTTCAATTGTTGAGTAGTGTATTTATTAAAAGGCTTTAAAACACATTTATTGGTTATTTTTAAGGATTAATAGCAATACAAATAAATAAGTAAGTAAATAAGTAAGATGCTTTATTGTCACTGAAAATTGTACATATTTTATGGACAAAGGTTATAACAATAAGACAAGAAAGAAGAAAATAAATCAGAATAAGAATCGGTTGTACTTTTAAATAAAAACAAAAACAATAATATTCTTCCAAACTTATAGAAAATACTACCTAATTAATGACCTAAAAAACTTCGTAAAAGGGACCTAACCAAAAATAAAAATTAGGAAAGCAGATTAATGAATTAAGGGCTCAAATATTCCACCTTCTTGTAATAAACAGTGACCAAATCTGTCATATAGATTTCTCTTCATATTTTGGAGTAGGGCTGGTGTAATGCTTGCAGAGAAATGAAGTATTTTTGCCCTTAATTCGACTACGTTTGTGACCATTTTAAACTAAGGCCTATAAATGTTTTCTTTGAGAATAATATTCCTATCCTGTTGGTAATAAACCTTTAAAAATTAACGGGAAGGCGTTGAACTGCCGGAATGATCTCATTCTGTAAAACAACAGTTCGAACCATGGAAGTGTCGATAATCACGCATCCATTTCCACGACGATACGACGAGGTGGGGTCCGAAACGGCTATTTAAAGCAAGCGATTGGCGGAATTAAATAAGTCTTGTGGCTAACGCTCTAGGCTCCCTGGCTCGCTAGTGTATTGAATTTGCGAGCCAACCCGGACAGAGAGACTTCCGCAGTGAGGATTATACTCTGTTCTTAATCAAGCAAAACCCGTGGGGGAGCGTGAATTGAACGGTACCATCAACTCTGACTCAGAGTATACCGTGGATCTGCACAATCGAATATTTTGATTGCGAGAATGTATGGCGCTTTCGGTGGCCTCAGGTGAAAGCGAGTATAAGTCTGCGTGCGATCCAATTCACGTATTTTATTTTTTGTTAGTAATAATATTTTTTTTACAGACGTTTACCGGTAAATTCACTCTCGCGAGATCCAGGCGGGTATATAGAATCTATTTTATTTTTATTTTTGTACATACGTTAGAATTAATACATTTATTGTTATTTCAACCTGTGTTTTACCACGTCTGACGATTCGAAAGATCTACCTATCACAAAGTTGTAAATATTTGGGCCCGTTTATTTTTCCATCGATAAAAAAGACCGACAATATGGTCGCTTAACATTCTAGTCCAAACATTTAACTTTTGCGGATGCTGATCTCGCACTGTAACACTGGTGTGCTTATGTTTCCGAGAATAACACCTTGCAACGGATGCATTGTGTTTTTTAAGTAATTAAAATGAAGAGTCGTCAGAAAATAAAATATTTTAAAAAAGTTAACATTTTCATTCTGTTTATCTAACATAAATTCACAAACAGTTCTTGTGTTGGTTGTATTTTAAAACTATGATACCTATTCCTTTTGAGTAGTCGCTGGACAATTCCAGCATTCACGTTAACTTCCCTAGCAACTTGTACACTATTGTGGGGTTCACTAGCTTTCACAAAAGCGCAAATATCAATATCTCTGTTTTGACGCTCCATATCGACATATCTAACATGTGGTTTATTACCTTCATGACACTTTTTACAACTGTTTAACATCCCGAAGTTTGAAAATGTTTAATGGTATTTTTAACTGTTGTAATAGTTGGTGGGGTCTATTTTCGAAGGCAACAATAAATAAATCAATTACTTTGCGTATCTAATGACCCTGAAAGTACCATGTTACAAGTTGCACTTTTTCTTGGACGGTATACAACGTAATAGGCATTTTATTATTTATTTATTCTTACAACAATTTGTACCTACTGTAAAATGAATATAGAGGTGGAAACGTGTAACATGTCACAGTGATTGCTACTGTGTTGTATAGTCAATAAATCAATGTCGTGATCTGTATAACAAGAATCCAGCTGTATCAGATGTTTGTGCTTTTAGAATATCGTTGAAATATTATATCTACATACAGTTGGTACTTACTGACTGACTCGATGACCTCCGCCAAAAGAACTCCATCACTGCAATCCGTTGCTAAAGCGCTAACTCTTTTCTTGCTCTTGCCTTTTTCCAGATAGTGGTTGGCCCAGTCTGTGTAGATCTGTAACAAAAATGTTTACAATAATTTGAGGAAATACATTTACAAAGTCGATAATATGTTATGTAAAAAATGCTTTGTTCCTTATACTTTATAATATTTTTTTCAAGTAGATTGAATAATCCAGATCTCACACTCAAACCTGTCGATAATAATTAGGGTGTTAGTTTGAGAGCAACTGAAGTCGACATAAAGTATGCATGCAAAAAATAGACTAAACAATATATTAGACAGTGGGTAGTTGACTACAATAAAATGGTCTACCAAGCACTATCAGTACTGTAGAAGAGAAGAAATCTGACAGAAATCTATGCAATTAAAATCCTAAAAATTAAAATCAAAATTGAAAGCAAAATATATAAATGGGGTATAATCCAAGTAGTTCTCTTGAACCCCCAGTCAATGGTAGAACTATAAAATTAATATGGATATACTCAGTGCAGGAAGTCTAAACAGCCGAGCTGGGTCCCCTACGAGGTGAAGCTGTAATAAAGTTTTTAAAAATAGGTTTAAATTTCGTAAAATCTAAATAAATTTGAGTATTAAGACAGTGAGAGTTTCCAATTGTTTAATTGTTTCCCTTGTAATCTCCAAATCTTCCAATAAATCCAACTCCAGATAGTTTTTCTTTTTTTCTTATATATATATATATATATATATATATATATATATATATATATATATATATTTACGGCATAAAGTGGACTCCGCCCATGTTAAAATTCAGGTTCAGGTGAGCTCCGTGGTCAAGTGGACACCGATATACGGAGCTCACTTGACCATTCCATAATATTGGCTCTGTCGATTCGTCAACATGTATAGTTTCATAATTTTTAAAAAAATTTTGGAGCCCATAATTATCCCTGTATCATAAATGTATATCGCTTAGTTCACGTGTATATATTATAGGGGTCGTTCAGATCTTTTTCACTGTATATTGGAACCATTAGTATATCGGTTTATGTAAGCTCTGATAGTTTGGCAACTCTGCTATAAGATGTATAATTCTCGCGTAAAGTCTGGACGGTTTATATGGACTCCTTAGTTTTGTTATCATTCATACGCATTACAGTGTGTAACAGATATGTATACTATTAACTACCTGTTTTTGGTAGGTACGAGTTCTCTAAAAATAGCTTTATAGATACAAAAGGATTTCATTACCAAATTGGATTTTGTTTCATATGCGGAAATTTCCTAATGTATTTTGTTAACGTGAATATGTCTTCATAAGTTTTATTTAAGAATCCGATTAATAAGAACTTCTTTTATTTCATCCATTGTTTTATGATATCTTGTATACAGCTTTTTTATTATTTTATTTCTGGTTTTATCTATGTACTACATATAAGTTTGGATAAAAGGTTATCTCAAAATAAATATTTAAGTGCTAAAATAGATATTTTTGTGTAAAAATGGGTAGTAGTGCACAAAAAAAGAAAGAATTTATCTAACAAGCATTATACCACTTCTCCAATATTACATACTTCTGAATGTTTTATTTTCTATTTAGGGGTAATATGTTATCAATATAAGTGGAGTTAGTTTCAAATTTGCAATGATCTTTATAAGTAAAAGCTTACTGGCTATACTTAACATGTTTAGTTCAAATAAATAAACCTTGTCCCTTCAGAAAAGAGCGATTTGAATGGAAAAGTCAACTAAGAAAGTGTGATGAATCTTATACCACCACACATTCACACAGGTTAACCGGTGTTTGCAGGCAAGAGTCCTCCAGGCAAATTTAAGGAAGATAACAACCATAAGGAAGTTCCTTTCGAGGGTTCAGATGGCGGAGCAGCTTATATTTTTTTTGTATATCTTGCAGATGTGATGATCTGATGACTGACTAATTTATAGCTAAATATACTTACGTGTTAAGTATGTGTTTTTGTCACCCATACTAGCAAGGTATATTCGGCAGCATAAGCATAGAGTTTAAGTCTACGTTTTAAGGGTGGAAGAATGTGCTTCCTATTTTGAGCTGACAAGTTTGCGGAGAATATTATTTTTCTGGTTCTAGGTTGCCATTTGGTTTTAAACAAAGTTTTGTGATAGAAACTATCTTCAAGGTATTTATAGCAAGTGCAGAGTTTAAGGATTTCATGACACTATTGGTTCAGGTATATGTTTAGATTTGTGAAAGCGTCTTTGTTAGGAACATTGAAGGAGCATACCTAACTTTTTCCGGGGTGTGGCTTAAAATTGATTCAGATTCTATTTTTATTTTGTTTAAGGTATTATTTAGATTTTTCTCTACTTTAGCAACAAAATTTTTTGGTTATGCAACAGTAGATGTATCGTCTACATAATAAAAGTCCTACTATTTACCGGTATGGGTTGTGTAAATGTTATACAGCGTAGGTGCGATTACGGTACCCCAAAGAAGACCGTTCTTCTACGTTCTCCATCTGCTATTCTTACCGTTGAGTGATACGAAAAATCTTATGTTGTGTAGGCATACACGGATAATACAAGTGAGTTTATTACCTAAGGGGATATCACATAGATTTTGAAAAAATGCCCTCTAATTTAAGGTGTCGTAAGCGGCATTGAGATTGACAAATACGACTCCTCATACCTGATATTTTTCATACCCGTCTTCGCTGTGTTGGGCAAGATTTAGTATTTGTGATGTACACGATCTTCCCTGTCATATATAGCCACTTTTGTCTTTTAATTTGAGTTCTTCTTCTATTATCGGTTTATATTAAGGATTATGTGCAGATTTATTTTGTATAGCTGACAAAATAAATAGATATATTGGCCGATAGCTTTTGTGGTCGTTGGAGTTTTTGCCAGGTTAAAGCATAGTGATAACTTTGTCTTTGCTTTGCTTGTCTACAGACTTTAGATATTAGCCATTGTAGTATTTTTGGTCAAAATTTTATAATTAGTTTTGTGCTCAGATCCTCAATCGGGAGCCGTAATATTGTTTATTTTATACGTGGATAGTGGATCCAAGCTCAACATAGTTAAATGGTTCCCGCAGTGACTAGTTTGAGTCCTCTCTCATTTTAAGTTTTTCTTTGCTTCTTTGCCGGCACTATTTATTATGTAATCTTCTGCGGTCTGTTTTATACCAAATACCCTAGGTTTGGCCCTCTATGTGCTTACTGCACTAGAAATACGTCACATTTGTGTTAAGCGTTTATGTCTGATAAGCTTAAGTAAAGTAGAGCGTATGTATAGTTAAAAGTTAATATATTTTTTGCTTACATAATTACTCAATATAGTATTTGCTTTATTTATTACACCTTCCATCAGGCTTATGAATTGTCTTTATCTCTAGATATAGTTTACTTTATCTCAATAGAATAGTTGGTCCTAAAAAGGACCGATTTGACAAAACTCATATTGGACGAGTGATTGAAGAATTAACCAATTAATTAATTATTCATTACCCAAGGTACGCCCGATTGCGGTGGTCTTATTAGTACTTAAATTTTCGTGAAGGCTTCTACGTTGAACTCCATAAAAAATGACAAAGTATTTACTTTTGACTAAAAATCTAAATTTTACCTACTGTTACTTTTAGACGATATTTCGAGTCAGATTTGTATAGTTATAACTGTAGCCATCCATGACTGTAGCTAATATATAGACTCTTTGTAAAAAGTAAATGAGTTTGTAACATCGGTCACAACTCATATATGGATAATAAGGAAACAAACAGGTTAAAATAGGTGTACAAAATTTAAACTACATATATATCGGCGCCATTGTTCAGGAGATGAGTTTATCCCAGAGATCAAAGATTACATTCTTTTACATGGATATTCTAGGTTCTATTTACTTATTTTCATTACTAAAAAGTATATAATAAAGGCCTTAAGCTGTCTTTAGATTCTATTAAATTTTTTTTGGTATAGACTTTTAGTCATTCAGTCAGACTCAACATGGTACAAATAGTTGTTTGAGTTTATATTAATAAATATACAAAACAAAAGACAGGTAAACAGGGTCACTCTCTTCTCGCCTAGGGGCCCATCAAGGCATTTTTTAAAAAGACGTACAACACTAGGCCACGGTAAGAAAGGAATTTGACAATTGGGTTAGAAACAAAGGTTACGGTATTAACTAATGCATAATTATTTAGATGGTTATTTTACTATCCTTTAAAAACATAACTAAGGAATCATACACTGCTCTCGAGTCTAGTGATATCCATGATAATTTAAACCTATGGAAATTGGCAAATTACAAAATACAGACATAATTCTGAATACCAACTTGGGACAAACAGTTTTCCCCTCTTCAACTTATTCAGTTACAATCTATAACGTGTAAACGCATACTTGTTTTATTGTTAGATACAATGAATTTCCATCAAGTAACTTTCAGCAATGTGACAACAAATTGCTATATAACAGTACGAGGCAATATCATAATATTTGCGTTACATTAATATTTATGTGGCAATCAGCTGTAAAAGTCATTGCCGTTTTTCCGATCGTATCATATTTTAGCATAGTCACATAAGAATTCTTTTTAAGCAATATACTGTGTCATATTCTTCTGATTTATTTTGTTGACAATTTATTTATGCTTATTCGTTCACCTTTTGTAAAGCAGTCTGTTTAAATATTAGGGATTTATATAATCTTTTTGTTTATATAATTTGTTTATCGATTTTACTATTTTAGATAGAGTTTCATAATTATAGTTTTTTTTTTTTATTTTTTCTATGGTAATACATATACATACCCAATTCGAAAGGGAGAGAAAACCAACGAGTTCTAAATTGAACATAGACATTATTCTCCATTTCTTCCTATATATTATATAGAGATCATCGTCATCGTGTAGTCGGAACGCAACAAGATTTTATTACCATTTCTTCCTTTTTGTCTCCTCATTCCTATTGCAAACTCAGCCACATAAATGGCGTTTTAAAAATATATGTCAATATTGCCGAAGTGCAATATTGATAGGATACTTTTTTTAAGCCTAGTTCGTTTGATTACATGTAATTGATTTGATAGTCCTCAACAGATATGTATT